CCCCATGCCTCCTAGCCTATATGTCTGGCACTTTGGAAAGCTGGTCATGGATAACCAGTATTAACCACGTATGTACGATGTAGCTTTATGAGAAGTAGTAGAGTGGCAACATACAACGTTAGTTTGGTTACAGCGGGGTGGGGTGTACCATGGATTCCATGGGGTGCATGGCGAGTAAACCATGGGATATATACTGGACACACACACACACAAAAAAAAAAAAAACAAGTGCACACCACGTGCGCATGAGGGGGCAGTCGCACACACTCCAGAGCACTGCCCATACGTGCACATCACCATCGACCGCACGGCGCACCACACACCGCACAGGTGCGCTGCAAGTATGCTTCAAGACCAAGTTTTTGCCTTGAGGCCCTGTCTCTTAGGTAGGGTTTACACACCTTGATAACCAAGGTGCTGCCTTGATCCTCCCACCCTCCTTTGGGTCCGGCCTTCCGGCTTCTCAAGTGCACAAGGACTCCCTTGTGCCCTTGCACTTGACCTCTCCCCCTTCTCCAAAACGAAATTTGTGAACGTGGATGACCAAATCCATTTCCGTGAGCTTGGGCTTGCGTCTCCCAAGTTCACAAGCTGAAATCTACCTCAAATGTTCATCCGAGGTAGATTCTCACCTCGGCTCTGCCTAAGATTAAGAGAGCCAAAAGCTGATCCCTAACCTGTTTTTTGGCTAGCAATTCCCATAACCTACACTGCAATTCACATTCACTGGAATCTAATCTAAAAGAGGTGGTACCCTACCACTTGTAGAAGTGACCTCGGCACATTCCCAAGGAAGAATCCAAGCTCAAAGGCTTGAGATCTTCTTTGGAAGGCCCAATCTCCTACGCTAATCGTATTTGAGAAGGAAATCGCTATTCTGGGTTTGGACTTGATCCATGGCTCTGTACTTTTCTTTTCTTCTTTTTTTCTTTTTTGAGAAAAAAACCTGAACAACATTACTAGGGGCAATGATATGAGCAAACTCCCCTAGTATGAATTTTGGAGCAAACTCCCCTGGTACGAATTCTGGTTACTCCTATCTATTTGTGGGGAAAAGGCTCATTTTTATAATACAAGGCAAAGTTTTTTTTGTCTTTGCAAGCAGCGAACGTAGGAATTCGGACCTTCGACTTGGTCACAAGCCCTTTTCATTAGTTTCAAGGCTTATTGAAGGACTCCCCCAAGACCTACCTCTGGGCCTCGGGTCACATGTCTCAAGGTGAGATTTTTGCCTGTTTGGTGCCAGAGCCCCATCTTGGCACTCTTATCACTTCAAAATCATGCTTTTGGCCTTGTAGCATGCATCCTCTGTTAGGATTTGTGCACCTTGGCAACCAAGGCAGCACCTTGATCCCTTCTACCTCCCAAGGTCACGCCTTTGGCCTCTCCGACATTGTGCATTCCTCACAAGTGCACAAGTCCCATCCTTTTCTCCATCTAATTCTCATAACTTTGGTCTGGGAACCAAGGGTCCCGACACCAGCTGATAACTCGAGGTCACAGGCGTGGTCTTCACTGTGGGGTGGGCAGATGGTCACCTGCATGATCACCTATCTATAGCTACATTGCAAGAGGATGGGAGGTGATACTACTTTTGTTGTGAATGAAACATGTGTATGAGGTAACACGGGTGGCTTACTGTGGGGAGGGGAGGGGCGTGGGAACTGTGTGACCTCCATTATAACAGGCAGTATAAAATGTTCTTGCTGGCTTTTGGGTCTTCTCTTGAGGCTTTTTTCAGAAGTCCGTATCTTCTGTAGCACGTTGGAGTTTTCTGGACAGTAAATCTTTCCCTATGGGAAACATCTATGCTGTCAATTGGAGGTTGGTCATCTGCGATGGCGGTTACAAACATGATCTTGGTAGTAGACAATTAGGTGATCTGACAGTAATGATGGTTCTCTCAGCCATAATGGGGAGAAGCACGAGTTCATGGTTAAAGTTGTTTATATCTTCCGGACTGTGGTGCTGGCCATGCTTACAACTTATGAAAAGGTGTCATGCGGGCCTAGCTCAGTTGGTACACCAATGAACTGTTGAAATACAAACAGCAATTTCGTCAATACGGACATTTTTCATTTTTTTGAACAAAATTGAAACTGACTAAATTGGCCCGAATCTGCCTGATTTGAGGGTCTGGCGTTCTTAAAATGCCCGCCCCCTGGATGTATCTGGACTTAGCTGGAGTCCAGGATGCCGGACCCCCTGGACGTACCTGGCCTTAGATGGAGTCCAGGGGGTACGGTGTTTTAAGAACGCCAGACCCTCTATTTCATTAAAATTCTCACCTGGCTTAGCCAAATTAGTGGGTTTCAATTTCGTTCAAAAAGTAAAAACTGTCCGTTTTGACGAAATTGCAGTTTACAGACCTGCGTTCAAAGTGAGATGGAACAAGATTAACCAAAAATATATTATTAAAAAAATAAAAAGAACTGACAATCATAAAACATAAAAAAGGTGCCATGCTTTCCAAAAAAAAGAGAAAAAAAATTCAGTCATGTGATGATCCAGGCTGCTCGTGGTAGCTCTCACCTGGCCCAACCATCGTATTCTTTCAATTTCTTTGCCTGATTTTGCACCTTTACCTCCTTCACCCAACCTTCCACTTACCTTATTATGCCACTGGGATTTAAAACAGTACAATCATTGCTTTGTTGCGCCTGTGAGCCCAATTGTACACAAACTGATGCAACCTGGAAGCTTCCTGAACATTCTGCTTCCTCTGCCTTTCTATGTTCTTTTGCATTCCTTGCCTAGAGGATATAAACCGCCCCTCAAACCGGGAAACATAACTATCTTTTGCTCTGGTAGTCACTGCCTGGCTTTGAGCTTGGAGACCCGCCCAGTTCACTGGCATGGGAAATAGAGGTGCCCCACATATTGGTGTATTGTGTGGGATTTGAACTCTTGACGTGTGGATCAGTAGCTTTAGATATGTACTGTTTGGCCACAAGCCAGACACATATTCAACTTTTGGCCTTAAGGGGAAAACTAATATTTTGTGCGAGCTAGTGCCTCAGGGAAGAGCGCAAAAACACAGTGGAGTGCTCAGGGAAGAGTGCAAAGATGCAGTGGAGTGACACCCACCTGATGGCAGGGAGGCACAGACGACGATCATGCCTTGCTGGCTCGGTATCTGCAAATGGTTTTCCAGCCCCGCCCCTCCGCAAGTCGTTTTCCAACAGGTACCTGCTCGCGCCCAGCCGTCAGGAAAACGACCTGTACCGCCCCTCCGCAAGTCGTTTTCCAACAGGTGCTCGCGCCCAGCCCTCAGGAAAACGACCTGTAGCGGCACCGGTACCTCCCATTTAGGCCATAGACCAATTGTTGAACTGGCAGGTGGTTCGAAGCATGAGTTTTTGTTTTCTTGCAGTCTGTAACTGCTCTTCCCCCGGACCTGCAGTGTGGAGTGTGCATGTGCAGTTATTTGGGCAAATTTGGAACTCTGCACAAGTCACAGGCGCAGTCGTCTCAAGAAAAGGAAGGAAGGAACCCTCTAAGCCCTTATCAGAGCCCCTGATCTCTCTCTCTCTCTCTCTCTCTCTCTCTCTCTCTCTCTCTCTCTCTCTCTCTCTCTCTCTCTCTCTCTCTCTCTCTCTCTCTCNTCTCTCTCTCTCTCTCTCTCTCTCTCTCTCTCTCTCTCTCTCTCTCTCTCTCTCTCTCTCTCACACACACACACACACACACACACACACACGGACGGACAAAATTACACACAAAAGAGGGCACATGGGCACACATAAGACAGGTGCGCGGGGAAAACAGGCTGTTTGTCAGCCTTTCATTTTTCCTGTCCTAAATGAAAGAGAGGGATACAGAAAGATTGGCTTAGATCGATACCAAGGCCGATCTACGACTTCCGGGTAGCTCCTGTTGCTTTAATGTCGAAGAGAGATCGACATTAAAGTGGGCAACTCCTACGGGACAAAGCTACACTGTTGAGACTCTTGAGAGATCGACAAGTTCTGCGCGTTCGCTCAAGCCTCTGCATGTGTGCGTGTGTGTGTGTCTGGAGATGTATGTCTGGATGTGTGTGTGTGTGTGTGTGTGTGTGTGTGTGTTAAATTCTTTAGAGATCGACGTGTCTTCGCACGTGCGTGCGTCTTTGTGTGTGTGTGTGTGTGTGTGGTTGTCTGTGTGTCTGTGGGCTGTGGGTCTGCTAGGAAGCTCCCCACGGCACATTGGTGCTGGAAGACCGTGCGGGACAGCTGTATGCGTGCGGGACAGCTGTATGCGAGAGTCTGTGCGCGACGGTGTGGTCTGCGTGTGTCTGCCTGACTGCGTGCAGATATGTTGCTTGCTCGTAAGCCATCATAAAGACGAAATGGTGATTGCAAGGCATGTTAAATCTTCATCGTACTTGTTAAGACAAGGGTGATTAATTGGTGCTTGTCACTGCTGTCTGGTCCACGTTGCCCTCGATACTGGTAGAGTGATGGTTCTGAGTGCTGGTCACACTCAGGTAGGATAGTAGGGACAGGGGGTGCGCTGGGAGTATGAACGTGGGGATGGGTAGGGTAGGTGGCCTATCCTGTCAGGACAACAATTGGCTGCCGCTGCCAGCAATCACCGCGGGTCTGGTCCTTGGCCTCTTCATCACCCTAGGCTTAAAAAAAAAAAAGAAAAAAAAAAAGACAAGGGTGATTAATAATGAAGCTTAGTACAGTCATCTTGGCTCTTCATGCTTACCGGCCGACAGCTCATGCTCCGTCGTAACGAGAGGGATTTTCCAAATATGGTTTTCAAGGAGCACATCGATGAAGGCTGGCTTGCACTCAAAGATTTATTTATTTATTTATTTATTTAAAAAAAAAGAGATTTACTATTTCATGTGCTCCTCGCGTGGTTTGTTAATTACTGTTTTAAATCAGTATATCGCATTCACGTTTGACAGATTGGAAGACAAAAGACAAGGACACAGGAAAGATTTGAACATGTAATTCGACGAGTACTTGACGACAAAGAATTTGGCGTGTAATGCGGCGATTAATTACTGACAAAGAACTTGAGAGCGTTTACTAGGTAGGATAGGATGATTCATTGCTGACAATTTGAGAGAGTGGTATCTCACAGATGTACCTGCAGATTGAGCGTGTAATTGACGGGAGACGCATCGATGTAGGTGTACTTCTGTCCAGGGAGAACCCACCCCTTCTTCGACACCTGCACGTCCGGGAATCGCCATCCCGTCCTAACCAGATATTGGTTAGGCTTCGCTACGCAGTACAGCGGCAGGAGCATTCTTTTCACACTCTCCTCGTTCTTCTTCTTCTTCTTCTTCTTCTTCTTGATCTTCCTCTTCCTCTTCCTCTTCCTCTTCCTCTTCTTCTTCTTTCTCCTCTTCTTCTTTCTCCTCCTCCTCTTAGTCCCCGTCCTCTTACTGCGGTCGTTCTTGTCGCTCTTCACCCTCGGTCCGAACGCAACAGCTGCTGCTCGATTTCCGAGCCTTTCAGGCACCACTCTAGCTTTTCTCCCCCTCGTATTCCTCCGAGCCTGTAGGGGCGTCCACCACTCTCGCCTCTCGCCTGTCGCCTGCGGAATGTGGCATGTATGGTTGAGCGGTGGTAGATCGCCAGTGAAGTTTCACACAGAAAACGCTAAGCACTCTTGCCTGCGCAGTTCCGTCTACCAAGCTGCCTTCGATCTGGCTATGGTAGTCTGCCTGCTGCCACCATCACTCTGGCTTCTGGCTGCTGTTGCCCCCTTCTTTCCTTAAGTCACCCCGTTCCTCTTTCCTTTCGCTTCTCCATATTTGAACTCCTTTTGTCCCTCACCCCCTCCCCGTTACCCCCCTCCTCGTTGGCCACGCTCACGGAACTGCAACTACCGCTTACCAGACAAACCCCAAAGAGCGAAGAACAAGAGGGGAAGGTATTGGCTTGTCACCGAACGATAACTTCTCGAAATAAGAAGAAAAAGAAGAAGAAGACGACGACGACGACGAAGTAGTAGGGTAGTAGTAGTAGAAGAAGAAGAAGAAGAAGAAGAAGAAGAAGGCACTGAGTTATGCGACCACGAGGAGTTTTGTCAAGAAGAAGACGAAGAAGAAGAAAATACTGTGGAGTGTCACACAACAGCGACGTCTGCAAAGAACAAAGAAGAAGAAGAAGAAGAAGAAGAAGAAGAAGAAGAAGAAAATTTGCTATATTGGCGAGGGCGATCGCTACGTATCCACGCTTTCAATAGAATGATGACGAGAAACAATTGCCTGCATGGGCATGAATATCAAGCTCAGACAGCAGCAGCAGCAGAAGAAGAAGAAGAAGAAGAAGAAGAAGAAGAAGAAAGAAGACACACGACGACGACTTTGGCAAAGAAGGAGAGGAGGAACAAGAAGCAATAGGCACTTATCACACGACGGGGACTTCTGCCAAGGAGTCTCAGAAGAAGAAGACGAGCAAGTAACAAATCCCGTCAGGCTGGATCTCGGATGGGACCTTAGGAACAGATACGCAAATCGGCGCGCTGCGCTAAGAGAAGCTCACGTCTCCAAGAACCGCCTTCGCTGAAGCAATGTATGCCCCTCTGCCCCCCGCCCGTCCGTTACTTCCCCCCCGTTTCGCACATTGGCCCTGGTCTCCCTCGAAACTGCCGATCTAACGGCCTTCCCCGCCCAGGCTGAATATAACCCGGGGACGAGGTCCCACTAACACAGAGGATTGGACTAAGCGCCCGAATCTGGACGTGCTCGTGGAGAGGTGCAGAGAAAATCGCAATCGATCTGCTTTTCTGCATCTCTGGGCAGAACGCATCCATATTCAGACGCTTAATCATATCCTCTTCGCTACTCTTTCCCCCGAACACAGCACACGCTCATTATGGCTATACCGGATCGGAAAGACAGCTCATATACGTTCATCATCAGGGTGCGTTATGTTCGGGGGAAGACGGGAGTGGGCCTCGCTCCGCGAGAGCGAACACAGCAAACAAGTGCAGGCTTCAGCGGTCAGACTGTGAGTCACGTGCTCCTCAGGGCCCAATCATACCTACCCGAGGGTCAAATGATGCGAAAATGCCACGTGCCGATGCTTAGCTCGTCCGCCACTTTGACAGCACCCCATCGCGCCATGGAGCGCTGCATGAGGCTGCGTGCCTGCCAGCGTGGATAGACGTGTTACAATAGTCCTGACGGTCCCCATTGGGCCCATTTGCCCGTAGACTGGGACTTCAACAGGCCCTGTTCCGCCCTCGTGAGTTCCTGGGACCACGGCCTGGTGTGTCGGTCTCTTTTCTTTGCTTTCCCCGCCTCCCCCGGGAACATACGACCGTCTGTCCCCCGTGAGCGCTACTGTAGGATCCCAAAATGCTATCCGTAGGGAGTCTACACGCATTGCACGCAAAAAACTCTCGCCGTCAACGGGCCCACGGTAGCTCCGTTGGTACGCCCGCGAGCTGTTGAAATACAGACATAAGTTCGAATCTATAATTGGGTTGGATCCACCCGAGGGTGGGTAGCCTAAACCGTATGTGTTTATATAGTCCGTAGACTATTCCCGTCCGTATCGAGGGAGATGCTAACCTTCTCTCGGCTCAACGGCCACTGCAAGTTGGAATCCAGTGAAAAAAAAAGAAAAAGAAAAAAACTGGTCGCCTACTCCTACAATTTCGGGCCTCGGGGAAGGCCGGGTAGGGCCTTGGGCCTCGGGACGTTGGGCCCAAGGAAAAATGGCAAATGGATTGCAATATATGTCCTGTGGGTTATGCCATGCAGGTGTTTTTAACATACACAGAGGCAGAAAACATACACAGAGGCAGAGGACAGAGACCGCCCTGCCTCGCTGGCAGGGCAGGTGAAAAAATGGAAAAAGGGAACTTCCCCCAGCCTTGCTAAGGGCCTGGTTGCACAAGTTTGGCGAGTAGACGCCTGGTTGCGCTTACTTGCCAAACTTGGTGCGAGGAAACCTCTCTGAACGATTGCCCAGTTTCCTTCGTCCTTCCGCCACAGAGTGGCCAGTTCCCGACTCTCTACTGCTATTTTGTGGAGGGTCATCCGCGTGACCTCTCCACATAACTTCTTGGCGAGTGCACAGCTCCATGAGTGGAGATCAGGCAGACCAAAATTTTTAACTTTTCTATAGAAGAAACGTAGTGGCGAGTAAGTGCAACCAGACCTCCAGTTCGACATGATTCTAGTTTTTTTTACTAAACACATCGGCCACGAATTGTGGGGGATGGCGAGTAGTGCAACTAGGCCCTAAGTTGTCACCACAAGAAGAAAACAGCGGGCTCGGGGCAGCGTAGGCCTGTCGGGCAGGCAGAGATTTTTTTGGGACCGCACGGGCCCACAAGTGAACTTCTTTTTGTCCAACTACGAATCCCGGTTGTACGGAAGAAAGAAAATGTCAGACCAAAAAGAAAATCGGAACTGGTGATTTGGCCGTACGGAAGGCCGTTGCCCGTTGCCAAGTCGTATGTGGGACTTGCAAAGGTGCCTTACCCGTCGTGCCGTCTCTCTCTCTCTCTCTCTCTCTCTCTCTCTCTCTCTCTCTCTCTCTCTCTCTCTCTCTCTCTCTCTCTCTCT